AAAAAAGTAAACGCAAAGTTTCTGGCGTTGTAGAAAAGGAATTGTTTGTCTCGGGTATCAGTATTCATTAACAAAGTGCTCACTTCGTTTTACTCAAGTGTCAGGAAAGGATTGAGTTCATGGGACAAATGTCCACTGATAATGTAGGTTACTTTTCTGGTCTTGTATATCTCACAACCTTCTACTTCTAACCTCCTGCACTGCTGCTTTACATCTCATAACCTTATACTTCTGAGATGTAAAGCAGCAGTGCAGGAGGTTAGAAGTAGAAGGTTATGAGATGTAAAGTAGCAGTGCAGGAGGTTAGAAGTAGAAGGTTATGAGATGTAAAGTAGCAGTGCAGGAGGTTAGAAGTAGAAGGTTAGAGATGTAAAGCAGTAGTGCAGGAGGTTACAACCTTCTACTTCTAACCTCCTGCACTACTGCTTTACATCTCACAACCTTCTACTTCTAACCTCCTGCACTGCTATTTTACATCTCATAACCTTCTACTTCTAATCTCCTGCACTGCTACTTTACATCCCATAGCCTTCTACTTCTAACCTCCTGCACTGCTACTTTACATCCCATAGCCTTCTACTTTTAAGCTCCTGCACTACTAGTTTACATCTCATACCCCTTCTACTTCTAACCTCCTGCACTGCTACTTTACATCTCATGCCCCTTCTACTTCTAACCTCCTGCACTGCTACTTTACATCTTCTACTTCTAACCTCATGCCAGGCCTAGGTAGTTTATATTTTTGTGTTTTGGAAATTTAGAAATTTGTTAGATTTCCTGTGTTATCCCCACGGATATTATGTTTATGTAGCAGATAAAGTGAAACCCATTTCTTATTCTCGTTGCATCATAAAGAGTTTGGTATTTTGGAATCTATTTCCATAAATAATATGTACTGTCTTCTGGTAACCCTTTGAAAATGAGCGTTCTGATGATATTGCTGTACAAAGCAGTTCGCAACTTCAATATTTGTATTCGTTTCTAGTCTACACCCATATCAACTCTTAAGTACATGGATAATGTCAGACAGCAATTATATCTTGTGCTAGAGAAAGCTCTCTGGAGGCTCAGTGGTAGGCTTATGGGCTTATGCCATTAAAAATTGAGATCGATACCTCGCTGGGCACGGCGCAGATAGCCCATTGTGTAGCTTCGCGCACAAAAAACAAACAAACAAATAATACAATAATTGTTTTATAAAAAGATAGTTCGTAAATTTCCCGATCTTAGTATGCATATAAAAAAAAGATTGATTTCTAAAAATGTAAGTCAAATTCAGATAACATATTGCGATGGTCATTTCTAGTCAAAATGAAACACAATAAACAAGAAATAACCATTTGATAGAGGCAAACTTTAATATTTTAGTAATAATGATATTTCAAGTATTGAACATATAACCTTCTGTGTACATGGTTTTAGCTCGATATCAGCAGGTTTGGCAACAGTCAGTTAGGGAAATTTGAGATAGGGACTGATATGGAATCAGTTAGTAGCTAAAACAAACATCAGAGCTACCATGCCGAAAATAAACTCGATCCTTTGCGATAAAATGTTTAGCGTTTTCAGCTGCAGTTTGTATATGCTTTAAATTGTCGTCTTTAGACGTTAGATAAGCCTGGGACAGATGTCGTCATTCTATTAACGTTTTTAAAATGGTGTAAGCTTATGACTTTGTATGCTGTTGAAAGTTTTTATGACTGATATGATAGGGTGCCATTTCTCGAGTGGCTTGACCTTGTTAACTGTTTACATATAATCTCAGCACAAAATTGTTTTAAATTTGAAAATTATAAAGGTAAAATCTGAATAATCCGGTCGTAAAATAGACCACGTTATCATCTGTTTATGATTTCTGTTTATCTTGATCATTATAAAACTAGCACCAAATGTGCAGGAAGTGTAATTGGCCAAATATATTACATAGTTTGTGATCTCAGTGTATATAACTTTCCATCAAGCTTCAATGGGTGTATTTATCTCATAATAGACTGAAACACAGCTTACATTCTATCCAAGTTGTTATTTGTTACAAATTAGTACTGTTTATGTTTAGATCTGCCAAATGTTTTGTAATCACTCCAGTGTCTGTTTAACTGTTATTGGCGGTTTACCTACTATTTTATACAAGTGCGAGCACCGTTATGATGACTGTTTGCTTAGAACATGCATATGATTCAACAGCTGTTTTACTCCTTAAAAATATCTTGAAGTTAATTTACGATTTGAAAAATATGGTTAATTTTCTATACAATTCTACAACTATTTCGCTCCTTAAAGTATCTTGAAATCAATTTTCCATAGAACTCAACGACTCTTTTACTCCTTTAAAAAGTATCTTGAAATCAATTTTCCATTGGATTCAACGACTGTTTTACTCATTTAAAAAGCTTCTAGAAGTTAATTTTCATCAGGAGTCAACTGTTTCATTTTTTAAAAAGTATTGAAATCAATTTTCCATTGGATTCAACGACTGTTTTACTCCTTTGAAAAGCTTCTAGAAGTTAATTTTCATCAGGAGTCAACTGTTTCATTTTTTAAAAAGTATCTTGAAATCAATTTTCCATTGGATTCAACGACTGTTTTACTTTTGTAAAAATTTCTTGAAGTAAATTTTCTGTTTATTTTTGATTGAATTAAAACAGCTGCTTCTCCTGAATATCACCTTTAAAATGGTAAAACTATAAACTCCCGAACCCAGGCTGCTTTTGTACGAACTTCTACGATTTGTAAGTCAGTCATCATGTGCTTCAACACTTCGTCACGGTCCAAAATTGAAGAGCATGTACTTTTTTTATTTCTATTTTAAAGTTGTTGTTGTTTTTCATCTAACTATCATGCCAGGGTGAATGAGATGGAAAGTGCTCATAAGGACATTGTTTTTGTTCTTTTCGTAGTTAATTGTTTTTAAACAATTTGTCGATGAAAAACTTCTACGCTAAAAGATGTGATATTTCAAGAACTATTCATCAGTATAATAGCTGTGATGTCTCAAGAACTGTTCATCAGTATAATAGCTGTGATGTCTCAAGAACTGTTCATCAGTGTAATAGCTGTGATGTCTCAAGAACTGTTCATCAGTATAATAGCTGTGATGTCTCAAGAACTGTTCATCAGTGTAATAGCTGTGATGTCTCAAGAACTGTTCATCAGTGTAATAGCTGTGATGTCTCAAGAACTGTTCATCAGTCTGATGACTTTGACTTTGCCTTATGAATTAAAAGTTCCTTTGTAACACAAACCGTTCATTACTCTCAGAGCTGTGACTTCAGTCTAGCTTCAGTTGATGTCAAATATCCGACCTATGTAACTTTTCAGTGTGAATTAAATTTTGTAATCTCAAAAAAAAACTTTCCAGTCTAAAGACTGTGACTTTATAGGATTATGTTTCTGTAACTTTTTAAGATGGACTGTGAGCTGGCTTTTAGGGACTTGAACGTGGTTAGAAATGCAGAGATTATTAAAGTAGATAACCGAGACGATAACTGCTGTTTGTCTATATCAGACATTAAATCTGCACTGATATTTTTATCTCTATGATGTGAAACTAGTTTTATAACATTTAAAGAACAATTATCAGTTTATCATGTGGGACTTCGGATTGTGATTCATGCTCTGATTTTATCCTGCAGCTTGTTAATTCTATAAAAACCGTTATAATCTTAGTTACTTCAAGTAACTATTCAGGCACACAAATATCCAGATTAAGGAAGTCATGATATACAGAGATCTAATTTTAAAGTCACATACTACAACATGTAATGTCCTCCCTATTTTTTTTTTGTTATATCAACATATCTTTAGTTTTCTTGCAAACTTGAGAAAGCGTTATTTCGAATTTTTTTATACTTTTGTCTAATCTAACATTGATACAACACTGATGTGTTTAGAATAATGCAATATTGAGGTGTTTCTGGTTAGAACAATAGGAGTTCTTGTATATAGGTCTTGAGGACAATATTCGCAGAAAAAATGGGAAATCTGTGGTAAGTAGTTCCTGACGTGCAGTCTGTTTATTATCTTCAACTAGCAACAGGAATTATGGCTAAACCATCCTGCTCGATGATCACAAGGTGTCGTAGCAGATAAAAATATATATATTGCCTTTGTGATTAGAGTCAATAGTCAGATACCACATTATCCAGCTGAGGTAGATAGGCTATAACCTATTCGACATATTTTCTTTATTATATAAACTAGAGAAACGACATTCCAATAGACTGCCCAACCTTTTTTGAAACTGGATGGATCTGACTTTGAGTGCAGTAATCAGGCAATTGCTAAAGTATCCTGGTGAGTGTTCAGTCACTTTCAAAGTGGATGTGGTGAACAGTGACCCTACATTTATTATCTGTTTATATTATCTGTCTTTTTTGTCGATTTTTCTGATTGACTGCGTGATAAAAGAGAAGATTTTACCTTTAATATCGATTAATAGTGAACAGTATCCAAGAAAGTAGAACTTGTTGCATCATCAGTAAATGCGCCATCTAACGACGATAACAAGAAACAATACGTACATGTCGTGACAAGAAAGAAAGTTGAGCTTAAATATTTGTGATATGTATATTCAGTTGTCTTGTGTCTAATTTTATAATTGAATTCGTGTAACAGAAGATATAGCAGTATGTATTTGAGAAGAAGAAAACTAACATTTTTCCAATCATATCCTCTGCGTATACGATTTTTAATGTTTAAATGCAATGAAATTTGAACTTGGAAAACAGGAAACGTTATATTTTATAAACTTGAAAAATTCGAATTAATGTAGTTCAGCATACCATAGTCCAATTTCATAAAGAGAGCAAGTGTATTTTGCATTAAAAATTGGAATTGATTGAAAAATAATTTCAGTCTGTCAAAAAAGTAAAAACGTGCGATACACTTTTTGACTTCTTTATCGATTTATTACGCGAGTGGCATAAAATTGATTCATAATGCAGGCATGGTCATAAGTAAACGGTGATTTGTAAAGTTTTTTGTTGTTGTTTCTTGTCCAGATGTTGAGGATTTATCAGAGAACAAACCCCCCATCGATTCGGGTCAAACGCTAGACTGTACAAATACCACCACGCACGAGATCGTTGAACTGTCACACGAGTTGCCCGACTTTGCGAACTCTGAACTTTTAGAAACTGGGACTGACATAAAGGAAACGTCCTTTGTTGAAAACGTTACAGCACAAGACAGTGGGAATTCATCTTTATCAACGGACTCAACAGGAGTCGCTGTGCAGTCTGCAGATATTCTGGATCAAACACCCACCGACGAGGATCCTGCTGAAAGAGGTATGGATACCGTGTCGTCTTGATGGCTTGTTCAAAACGTGTTAATAATTCACTTTATCATTAGATAAGATAACACCATTCCTCGCCTATAGATCACCATGAGAATCATCGCAGTAACAATTTGTTATTAATGTGATTATACGTGTATGTTATTACATAGCTCAGAATTTGCGGAATCCAGTAGCAGTTTCTGGGCTTGGCAAAAGCTTTATCAACAAGCCAAGTTAATCCCGCCATATTGAAAAGACTGATTTTTTTAATATTGTTTAAAATGACTACTAACTCTTTTTTGTATTTTATTTAACCAATATATTTGTTAAGTGTCTTGAATAGGATACATATTATAAGAGATGCAAGTCAAGCAAGGTCGAATATAAATTTCAAAGGTTAAAAAAAAAAATCATAGCCGAGATGTTACTTGCTTCTAACATGTATGAAGAAATATTCTCTGCGGTTTTAAATTGTAAGATAATCTATGTATTTAAGGCGCAGGTTGTGGGTTCGATTTCCCGTACCACCAAACATACTCGCTCTTTCAGCCATGGGGACATTATAATGTGACGGTCAGTCCCACTATTCGTTGGTAAAAGAGTGACTCAAGAGTTGGCGGTGATGACTAGCTGCCTTCCCTCTTGTCTTTCACTGCTAAATTAGAGACGGCTAGCGCAGATAGCCCTCGTGTAGCTTTGCGCGAAATTCAAAACAAACCAAACTATGAATTTAGTGAACTTCTTCAACTCAATTCGTTAACTAAACGAGTTTTTGTAACTGTGTTTATTGCAGAATCTTCAACACATCATACGTTTTTTTTGTTGTTGTTGTTAATTAAACGAGTTTTGTAACTGTGTTTATTGCAGAATCTTCAACATATCATACGTTTTTTTTGTTGTTGTTGTTAATTAAACGAGCTTTTGTAACTGTGTTTATTGCAGAATCTTCAACGCATCATACGTTTTTTTGTTGTTTGTTGTTGTTAATTAAACGAGTTTTTGTAACTGTGTTTATTGCAGAATCTTCAACATATCATACGTTTTTTTTGTTGTTGTTGTTAATTAAACGAGCTTTTGTAACTGTGTTTATTGCAGAATCTTCAACATATCATACTTTTTTGTTGTTGTTGTTGTTGTAGTTTTTGTTTTCAGAGTGGTGTAACCTTAGTTTAAAACTGAGCATGCTGTAATCAGTCTTTTGTACCACCTCACTAGCTTTAAGTACGATTGGTTGTTGTCGTTAAGCGCAAAGCTACACAATGGACTATTTGTGCTCTGCCCACCACGGATATGAAAACCAATTTTCCACGTCATAAGCAGAATTATCGCTGAGCTACTGTGGGTAGCTTTAATTAATAGATTGGTTTTTGTTGTAATATTGTAGAAGAGCTATTTTAAACTTTAATAAACATAAGTATTTAAAATATTTGCTTGTTTTTGAAGGGCTATCTGCGCTAGCCCTCCCCAAGTTTGAGCTGGTATACTTTTTTCTAACAGAATGGTGGGATTTGACCGTCACTCTAATAATTAACCCTAATTAGTCCTAAAGAATGGAACATGTTTTTTGTTATTGTTGTTTTTTCGGAAACGACAAACGAACGTTGGACCCGCACATCCATAATCCACACTGGGCTGCGCTAGATCCCTCTCTCACCGAAAACAGTGGAATTTAAAGGAATGATTATAAATACACGTAATGGATTTATTGTCTATCAGTTCAAAATTAGGGACGGCTAGCGTTGATACTTTCTTATGCATAAGGACTTGTAAAACCAACTATCAAGTTACACCAAGTAAATATCCAAAACTTTGTGAGACGTAACTACTATTATGTTATCTGTTTATACAAGTCAACCGAAGCTGACAATGTCGTTGGACCAATGCTCTGTTCTTGTAGTTTTATTTTAACAATTTGTGAGTAGTTTGGTGCAATCAGTTACACATTTTATTTCAGTTATATTTATCACTAACACCTATATATATATATATTATAAACAGACTAAAATCTGATCACTACAAGATATACGTAAATACACAACATTTATGTCTTTATGGCATGGTTTCCCCAATGTGTTAAGTTTAAGGACTTACAATGGAAAATCCATGATTCGATTCCTTCGCAGTGGAAAGCGCGCAAATAGCCTATTGTCTGGTTTTGCGATAAAACAAAAACAAACTTTATGGCTTATCTTAAAGTCCTTTTTTCATGTTTGAATCTATTTATTACCTTACACATGATTATTTAATTCCTTTCTTCTACAAAGTACTTCTTTAGATGAATGCTTTTGTATGTCTTAAAGTTACATGTACTTTATATAAGTCTAGTTAATGTTTATGTCTACTGTGAATCCGAGGTTCCTGGTTCGCACACCGTTATTTCCGAAAAAACCCTCACTCCGCACTTTGGGATCGTTGGTGCGTCATGAGTGACGGACAAATCGCGCTATTCGATTAGAGTAGTCCACGAGTTGACGGTAGGTGGAGTTTACTAGCTGCCTTCCCTCTAGAATATCACTTTAAGATTTGGGACGGGTAGCACAGACAGTCCTTGAGAAGATTTGTGCGAAATTCAACAAACTTTTTAAGCCTGTTTTATTTTTACAATGACTTTGTTTGACATATTGCATTGTATGTATACATTTGATAAAATTAGCTTTGACAGATTGATGAAAGATTAAAAATATTTCTCATGATAAACGTTTTGATTTATTTTACAGCAGTAGATGATAACGTCAACGACTATGTTGAAATGGAACTGGTTACGAGCAGAAATAACCAAAGTATAAATGGGTCACCTTCTTTACTTCTAGAGCTATCACGACAACCCCCTGATGGGCATGAGTTTCCTTCTAAATGCAGTGAACCACGTCATTCACTAAATAGAAGGTCTTCAAGCTTTGATGAGGATTCAGGAGTGTTTGTTAACGAACAGTCATCACAAGGGTCTGACCGTGCATCCCATAGCGACCTTTTCCACTCTACAAATAGTGGTCAGAAAACCAAAAGGCCTCCAACCCTACAACTTGCATCTAAGCAGGACTTGGAGAAAACCATAGATAACACTAATATGAAACAGAAGGATCTTTCATACAAGATTAAAAATTGTAATAACACTAAGATTTTACCGTTACCTCCATCTAAACTATTATATAGTCCCAGACTGGCCTCAAGTACTGAGACGAACAAGCCATGGTTTTTCCCATCAGAAGACAGTTTATGTTTTAAGACTTCAGAGAAGTCACCAGAGTTTTCATGTGACAAAAGTAAAGAATACTTAAATTTTAGAAGCAAAGAAACACCTCAAAACAGTAAGAACGATTCACACGAGAGAAGAAATTTTACTGAACAGGCAACATGTAAGAGTAAAAACACAGAAGATGAACAGAAAAAAGACAAAAATCTGATCTTCAGTAGTAGGTCCTGTCATGGACGATTTAAAGAAAAGCCAGTTAGTGTTAAAGATCGTATTGCTATGTTTTCTGGTAGTGAGCTAGACGTGAACGAGGTTTCATCAGATACCACAAAGAAAACAGTTCTGTGTTTTGAAGATAAAGAACTTATCGCTTCTCCACATGAATATAGGCACCTTTCTGGTACTCCAGCCGCATGCTCTAGTGTTAAAAATCAAGAATCAAGTGGTAAAGTTCATGGTGTTAATAACATTTGTGTAAGTTCAGAAAACGACAGTTTGAAGAAGAACCATATTTTTGATAAAGAATCTTTCCCCAAATCTCAAAGTTTAGAATCGAATTTTTACAGCAATAGGCCAACATTTCAAACACACAACTATAATAAAAACATTACAAGCAATATCAAACCAAGCGGAAACAAATATCCCAATGGACAAGATCTTACATCCTCTAGTTACAGACACAATTTTGGAGCAAGGAGTTTGATCTATAACAGGTTCGGTATTTCAAGTTCTCGAAGCCACGAAGACTTGTCGAATCGATCAAACAATTGGAATCTATTTTCATTACAACAAAAATCCTCTAAATCTAATTCTACAAAGTTCAAGGGGTTAGTCATTCCAGAGAAACCTCTCAGCGCATTACCAGCAGTAAAATCATTGCCCACAATAGCTAGTAAAACTACTTGTGCAACTTCAAAACTCGAACCTGTTAAGTCATTAACCTGCCATCAATGGAAGGAACAAAATTTTTCTCAACCAGAAAAAACAAAATCGTTACCAAGAAAATTGGGCTTGCAGTCTTCACTAATATCAAAAGACACTGTAGACAGGACAAACAAACAGCCATTGTTGTCAGATCCACCATGGAAAAATGCCAACCCTAATGTGCCAAAGTATTCTCCAGCTTTTCAAAGAAGATCTCTTCAGCTACCGCGAACAAATGTCACATCTTCTGTTTCACCAACTCCTCCTTCTTCATTGACTTCTCCTATGTCTCCTCCACCGTCTTCTCCTTCCAGCATAAGCAGCTCAAACACGTCATCTTCATTTGGCATCACTTCTCCGCCAACTGTCAAAAAACAGAGTGTATTCCAGTTTTCACTATCACACAGCAAACCTGTTACCCCGCTTCTTCCAGAAAAACCTGTCGTGCCATCAGCGTTCACGTCATCAGACAGTGAAGAAAAAGACTGCGAACAGTCGACAGTACTTAGTCCACCTCTATATGAAGAAGAGACAACTAACAGCTTTTCATCTTCAAAACTGCTGAAGACTTCTTTTTCGACAAATTCATTATCAGATATCGAATTGCTTGACAGTAAAAACAGCTTTACATGTTCAACAGAACAACCTATTCATAAAAATAACCACAGTTCTTCTTGGCAAAAAGATTATAAACAAAGCAGTTTAAGGGCCATAAAAAGTTGCGAGTCAAATAGCTCGCAAGAATCAACACACGATGAAAGGTTTAAAAATAAACCAGAAACCTTTGGCACTGCTGATATTCCATATCGTAGAACAAACTCTTCAATCAACTTCACAGAGTACAGTAAAGAACTAAACTCAGACATACATGGAAAGTTTTTGGCTAAACCAGTCTGTATTGATTTTGAAGAGTCGGAAACATTGAAGCTAGAGCAACTTCCTGAATGGAAAAAACACGAAAGGCCATTATTACATAAATATGACAATGTTTCTTCATTTCCACCAACTGTTTCTTATAGACAGCCATTTGACAGAGCTGAAAATAACAGCCACAGTGTGTTGCTAGACAGTCAATATCCTTCTGAGAAAATTGAAAGTGACGATAACTATTTCTCGATGGTTAGCCAAAGAACAGAAGATTCAAGACAAGCTGCCAGTGATTTAATATCTGAATCAAATTCTGACTCTCCTGACCACCCTGCAACATCAAACTTTAAGGCACGTCAATTTAGTCAACAAAAAACAGTGTTGCACATGTCTAAAGAAGCACCCTCTGAGGGAGCTAAAAACTTTAGAGCATTAGCTGAACAATGGGAGCGAAAATCATTTGACGGCAGCCAAGAGCTTTCTTCACCTCCTGCTCTTCCTTTATCAAGCCCCCCAACATCAAAATGCAACTCATTGACTAACCTGTCCCAGAGTGGTAGTGTGAAACTTCCCCCATCCCTCATGCCAAAAGGGAATGATGTAGCACATCATTCAAGAAGAAATGGTGTATCAAACCAATCTTTGGCCAACAATGTTACATCAGGTGTAAAAATGAGGGACAAACAACAGTCAGTTCCGAGGCCCACGTCCTTAATTGAAGAAATGGGAAAGAAAAATATTAATAATGTGTGGAATAAAGGTTTTGTAACCAACAGCAGTTTTCCCTCTAAAGAAAAACCTGGAGAGATTTCCCAAATTGTTGGCAAGCCACTTGCCTCTAGAGAAGCCTTTAGTAGAAGTCGAGAATCCTTGGATCAGTTGGGTACTAGAAGCAGACCATATCTCTCGTCTTCTGCAAGATCCATGAGTGTTAGCGATATTCGTAAGAGTTTTGAAAACAACACATCTAACCCAGATGCCTTCTTGTTATCCAATTTTAAGCCTCGCATCTTCAAATCTTCTGACATACAGTCTAACTATGATGTTCATTCTGAAAGTCGTCAAATATCTGACGACTGCTCCAATTTGACTCTCCAGTCAGAAAAATGTCCACCTTTTGAAGGTTTCAACTCAACCTTAGGATCCGATATTTGCCAACTATCTGGAGATTGTTCTAGCTCAAGTATCCATTTTGCAAGTCAAAGACCATCTAATAACCTTTCCAACACACCAGTTTTATCTAACCACACTCAAGTCTCTGACCATACCAATTCAACTGTTAAATCCAATACTAATGGGATTAATGATGACCAATTCAGCAGCTTTAAATACGTTAACCATCAAGCAATAGTTGACCAAACCCATTCTGACTTTCAATCTGGTATTCATTGCTCATCTAATGATATAAATTCTAAGCATGACACCAAAATTGATAGCTGTAGTACTAGAGTACAAACTTCTACTAAAAATCATCCCATTAGTTGTGCTGATGAAGATAAGTCTTCTGTAGAAGTTAAACGTTTGAATAAAAAGACATCGGACTATAATAACTTATTTTCCGCTCCTACAACTGATCCTAAACGAACTTTTATAAATGAAAATACTTCAAAATACAATCGTCGTAATTCTAACAACCAGAATTCAATTCCTGCCTCTGATCAAAACAGTGAAAATCCTTTAGCATTGGGATTTGAATACAAACATTCCTCTTCTGTTGATTCATCTGCTAGTGAGTCAAGAGAAAACTCTCCTATGCAGTACCAATCTAAGACATCGTCAGAGCTTTGTGGTTTAAAACCGTCACTATCCTCTTTAACTGGCACCATCTCTCCTCAAGAACGTCAGCAACTACTTGAAGAGGCCAACCAAATCCTCCAAGAAGAAGGTATAGACAGTAAACAAGATATAAGTGTGGTGGTAATCCAAAGAGAACTCCAGGCTGGCAGTATTGGAATATCTCTTGCTGGAGGAGCTGACTATGAAGTCAAGGAAATTACGGTGAGTTTCCAAAAGACCATCAAGTTGATTCCTTTAAGCATTTCTTTACAATGGTGCTTTAGAAGGATGGGAAACGAACAATGTAAACGAAAATTACCAAAAACGTTTAGTGACTAACTTGGTAAATAATATTCATATAGTACTTATGGACCCGAATCTTTACCCTGTTATCAATTCTTATCTGTAACATGGTTTCTAGATGGTAAGACATCAGCTTTCACAAGTAACAAAAATACTTTATTTTTTATTTTATATTTTGAGTTTCGTTATAGGTTTTCCAAGTCAGTTTTTATTTATGCATGTCTCGCATGTACACTTGCTGATAGATATTTCTGAAATATCAATTTTTTAGAGAGAGAAATATTTGTGGAAACACGTTTTATTGGAGCTTGTCTTAATGCTTGTGCTCCATCATAAAATGATCATGATTACGAGAGGAAACTTTAACCCAAAATAATATAACCCTGGTGGGGGAGGGGCAACACTATACTATTATTTCAGTATTCCTGTTTGCAGACTGTTTAGTAAGTTGTTTTCTAAAGTAATAAATGATTCAAACCGTCATATTATTGAATTGTTTTTATCCGTTCACTATCTTCGGGGTCTACATATTGAATGATTTTATGTTTTTATCTGCCACAGTACTCAGTCCAAATAATTGACCAAGCCAGCTGTATAAAATCACAAATTTCCTGTGTAAACTATACAAGAGACCCTTCCAGTAATTAGATGGATTAATGGCAGTATTTATAGCATTATTATTTCTATTTTTTGAGTGACTCGTATTATTAGGAACCCAGTAATAGACAACATTATGGACCCACAAATAATTTGACATACAAAGCAAAATGTATTTTAAAAAGTCAACTCTGTGATTATAGAGTTAAAAGTAAATTTGGTTAGAATGAATTGTGGGGTTGAGAATTGTGATCATGGGATACGTTTTCTGAGGTAATAAGCAAACACAAGCTCTCATTTATGTTGTATGTGGTTTTGAATTTAAAACTGATTTTTTTCAGGTTCATAAAATTGTAGCAGGCAGTTTAGCAGATAGAAACAGGCAGGTTAGGAAGGGCGACCGTATTCTTTCTCTAAATGGACTTAATGTGAAGGGGTTGACACACAGAGAAGTATTAGACATTCTAAAAGCACCACGGAATGAGGTGGTTTTAGTCTTGGCAAGTGAACGTTCCACACCGTCGAACTTTTCACACCAAGAGAAGGCGAATGTAGCTCCTGAATTAACAAATGGATACCATGCCACCACAGGAGCGAGTGAAAAAGAAATAATCAAAATAGGTACAAAGACGTTTCGTTTCAAAATTAGAGACTGAAAATGTGTGTTGAAAGTGCATCTTTATGACTGTTGTTTGTCCATTCTTAGATAATTCGACAACCACTGCTAAGGCAGTTCTTTTGCAGTGATAGAGATTATAATTTGTTTAACTGTATTTGAGAACTACGAAATACGGTATTGGCAAAACTTGGAGTGTGTATGTGTTGGATCTCAGAATAAATTACGACTTTGGCAATATTCGTGAACTGAAAACAAAGTACAGTGTTGCAAGTATGCGTGTGTGAATTATGAACTAGGTATGGTACGTGTGTTACAAGCTATACGTGGAATGTAGGTGTGAAATATGAACCAAGTGTGGTATAAACGATTCTTGGAGCGTGTGTGAACTGTGAAAAAAGTGCAGTATTCGTGATAGTTAGAAGAGAACAACTTGTGTAAAACAAATATTTTATTTATACTAATCAACTAATTATGTACTAATGACTGGAACGTGTTTTTAAATAAATAGATACTTTATGAGTTTATGTCATAGAAACTCTTTAAAAGTTTTATATCTACACCTACGGAGTGTCTCTTGAAATTACAAACAAGTTCCATTTTCTTTACTGAACTGAAATATACAAATTCAATTTTCTATGGCATGAAATGGATATTAAAGGCTTTTTATGTACATAATTATCTTCGTGAACAACTGTGGTTAATTGTTTATTTCACACACATATATATATACATACACACGAGAAGTATGGTAAGTGTGGATTGGTGTACACATGTAAAGTAAGCCAAACTTTTATTATTATTTTTCATCTTCAGAATCGCCCATTGCTGTACCGACAGAAGAAAAGATCATCACGGTGGAATTAGAAAAGGATAAAACTGGAATAGGCTTTAGCTTAGAAGGAGGAAAAGACTCTCCCTTAGGAAATCGTCCATTAACCATAAAAAAGATATTCAAAGGTAACCTTTTCTCCTGTTCATATCTTGTTAACATTGGAATTAGCATCTAGTTTTCATTTATTAAACTTATCTAAATGTGAATTTAAATTAAGATGAGAGCTCAAATGCACTCGTAAGGCTCAATGGCTTCGCGCTTTAGACTCGTGGTCTATGGTTGCGAGTTCGAGACTGGCATGCGCACGATACTTTAACCCCACTTGTTCCAGTTTACCCAGTCGTTAACTGGGAGTTAACATGTACTGGACTAGCATCCCATCCTGGAGACAATGGTCACCATTCTCATCCGCTTGTGCCACTTTAAACAAAGTAACGTTCAATAGTTTTCTAAACATATTTTCATTTATAAACCTCTGTAAGTAATTATTTGTCAGTAGAAGGGTCCTTAACCACATCATATATTTTTGTGTGTATCGAATCCTATAAAAGATCACTTGTACAGTTTTGCTCAGTTTAAGTTTATACTTATTACTTTGCATCTATATAATGATGAACTAAGAAACTACCTTCAAAAAGAGAAGACAACTACTACGAAAATGTTGTTTCATTTGTAGCAGCACTATCATTCCGTAGGCCTGATGATCCTCTAAAGATGTTAGTGAGTGATCCAAACCAAGTTTCTCTTCCTGGTGCATCTTCGAGAAAACCAGTCATGCCAAATGTATTACGTATCCAAAATGTTCTCAGCTGACTGTATTTCTCACTTGAAGCATGAACCCAAGCGTTTGTTATGAGTGATATTATCATTCTCGCTGGAGACTGGTGATATAAAAAGGCCATACCAATTGTGACAGAGTAGATGTGATGGACCTTTCGGAAATTATCATTCTCGCCGGAGACTTGTGATATAAAAAGTCACCTGGACAGAAAACATTTTTTACCTAAAGACCATACCAATTGTGACAGAGTAGATGTGATGGACCTTTCGGATATTATCATTCTCGCTGGAGACTGGTGATATAAAAAGTCACCTGGACAGAAAACATTTTTTACCTAAAGACCATACCAATTGTGACAGAGTAGATGTGATGGACCTTTCGGAACCTACACAAGAAACAGAAAAAAAAAGATCAGGTGAAATATACTTTAATAGGCCTCACAAACTAAATGATAAGTAATTTAATACGACTAGGCTGAGCGCCCCCAGTGGCACGGCGGTATGTCTGTGGACCCACAATGCTAGAAACCGGGTTTCGATACCCGTGGTGGGCAGAGCACAGATAGCCCATTGTGTAGCTTTGTGCTTAACCTCAAACAAACAAACTAGGCTGAGCAAGTGTAATTTTGATAACCTAACTTGCAGAACTTTTTTAGACCCCATCAAGGCAATATCTGTGCAGACCAGTGTAGGGATTATCTAAGGTAATAATATCTACAGTTTTTGTTTAAAAATACTTTTAATCTGATGAGAGCAATACCCTCGACTTTTCTTCTTTGGCAACTGGTTTTGATCTTCTGTAGTTTGGATTTGGACTTATTAGCCAAGGCTTGGTATCTAACCATACCCCCTGTTTCATTGCATGGGATTCCTTGTCAGAACAGGAAAACGGTAATCTTACTTTTAGATAGCACTGATGTGTATTTACAGAAACATACTAAACATATATTCCAGTGATTAAATTGCACAAAGCATAAGCAGCAGCCGCTTGTGAAACTAATACGTTCATTGTGACAGTCCTTAGCATCTTACTGTTGGGCAAAGTTTTAATGCAGCAGTTACTAATAACGTATTCTGAAATGATGTGAAAACACTTGCTTGTGGATATAACCATATGATGTATCTTGTTGTTTGTTTGTTTTTTATAAAAAGTGGTGCACTGGATCTTCTACAAAGTGGGTGTGAAAACCCAGGTGTCATTCTTTGTGCAACAGGGGTTTAATTAGTATCTTCCACAGTGCTAATCTTTCAAGGCTTGATACATTAGTGTTGAGCGGTAGAACCAGTAGTTGCTTGAAACAATAGAAACCACTGACCATAGTATTTACTAACCTGTAGAGTCATTTGATAGGATTTTATGTGAAATTGTCAGACTTATTGAAAATGCCGCCGGCAAAGCTTGGTGTCACACAACACATGCTGGAACAACCCAACACTCTTCAACAATTGTAGAATCTGAAGATATAGCGCGAATAAGATCCATGTCTAAAAGACTGAAGCAGGTGATGTGGCTTTGGACGTTTAACAGTTGTCTGAAGAATGTTTATGGTAGCTGACATTAGAAGGCATGTCATGGCCTCGTGGATAAGGCGCTTGACTCGCAATCTGAGGATCGCGGTTCGAAACCCCGTTACCGAACATGTTCGCCGAAATTGAAGAAAACAAACAAACGCTGATGACACTTTCGGTACATCGGACAATGACTGAAGGTGAAATATGAACATTTAATGTACACCTAATGTGAAATATGGAATTTGTATGGGTGACATATGGAAAAGATTCTAAGTGATTTGCTGTTATTCTCTCTATTCTTGCTTTCACAAAACATGTTTTTGTTCAGCTTTGCTTTTGTTTTTAAACAATTCATGTTCTATTTTGTTATATTCATAAAATATATACTAACATGATTTTCATATTTCAGTTATGTGTGTGTTTTATATTTTGGTAGAAAATTGTAAGACCTTTTTTTTTCCGGAAAGGTGGAAGTGCTGATAAAGTAGGTCAACTGAGAGCTGGAGACCAGATTCTCACGTTAAACAACCAACCGGTATCTAACATGACTAGAACAGAGGCATGGAGCTTCATGAAGAAGTTGCCTGATGGAACAGTCGCTGTAACTGTAAAACAGTGTAGTTAAAAACATGTATTATAATTGTGTCGAGAAGGTTCAGATAAAGCTTCTATAAAACTACGCAGAATTCCAAACAAAATGTAAATCTAATATCTTTTGTATCCATGATAAGTTTGTTTTTGCTTCTTTTTTTTGCTGTAAAATACCTTCAATTAAACGAGGAATTTAGTTCTGAGAAATAATAACGTTAATAAATCATATGAATTGTACTAGAAGTGAGGAAAACTTTGTTTCATTTATCTGTTTTATTCTATTATTTCCCTTTTATTCCCCTAGGTGGCTTAGCGGGTTTATAATGCTAAAAATGAGTTTTAAATACCCGCATCGGGTAGTGCATAGATAGCCCATTGTGTAGCTTTCTGTTTAACAACAAAGAAAACTTTATTTCAATAAAAAATAGTTATAAAGTTATTCAATATTTTCAATGATATTAAATATATTTCCGAATACAACCAGGAGAGGGGGATAATTATTCGCAAAGTGCTCAAAATTTTGATTTCTGAACTTTGTGTCTTTATGAGCTTGAGTTATTATCGTGTAAAATTGTTAGATTTATTAGGTTTTGTATTGAAGATCAAATCCGTTGTTTTTGAGTAAGTAGGGTTAACAAATGTGTATATTGTTGTTTCTCTGACAATTTTTCTTAACGAGTTTGTAATACTGAAAGTTTTAGACTTAATAAGTGTCTGGGTCTATGATGGTATTGTCGTAAATTAATTAAATTATCGTGTAAATACAAAAAACTTGAATCTTTGACAAATACAAAATCCCCCAAACAATCATACAATAGTTGGTGTTTTATTGTGACATTACCAACAGTTGCCTGTTTAAGCAATTGACATCTCATAAAATTCAAACGTTTTCTTTTTATTCCAAGCTGTTCGTGACCTATTGGTTTGCGTACCGAACCGTGAATCCGAGGGTTCGTGCTTCCTGTCCTGTTACCGCAAATACGCGCCCCGCACTTTGGGGTCGTGTGTGCATTGTAATAGTGACGGTCAAATCCATCTACGAGATTAGAATAGCTCAAAAGTTGGCGATAGGTGCTGTTGACTAGCTGCCTTCTCTCTAGTCCAGTAGTTCTCGACATTTTTTGATTTATGACCAGTCGCGACCCAGTAAGTAGCTTTAGTGCAAAAAACATCTGGCTTACTATTAGCTATTTTCAGAGTCTGTTTACAACACTTTTACACATTCTGACAAATCTATTTCTATAGGTTGAGAACACTGTTCAAGTTTACCATGGCTAGCATATAACACTTTCACACATTCTGACAAATCTATTTCTCTAGGCTGAGAAACACTGTTCTAGTTTACCATGGCTAACATATAACATTTTCACACATTCTGACAAATCTATTTCTATGGGTTGAGAAACACTGTTCTAG